CATTTTTTTAATTACACACTTTCGTGTGATGAACAGCAGACGGGGAAAGCCCCATGGTCACGAAGACCTGCTGCTCAGTGATTTTATCCGGCAACCTAAGCCCCCGGACTTGGAGTGGCGAACCACATAAGGTCCCGCTGGGTTAGGCGTGATATTGGGCCGGACGGCAGCACAACTGCCACCAAAGTTGGGTGGTGGTGGCAGCACTGCAACCTCGGACCGTAGGGTCCAAAGCGCGCCTGTGACAGCGACTAAACCGCGGCGCCACATGATGCACGGCAGAAGAGGTGAGCCCCGTCGTCACGCACACCTATTGTGTAGTCATGGCAATCGATAACCCCTGCTCGGGGACAGCGCACGTAAGACCCTAGCGCTATACTTTCAGAAAACCGGTGCTGACTTGAAGCTAATTGTTCAGTACGAGCCGGCAGCACACAGGTTAATGAGTGGAACAGTTCGTAGGTGTCATTTCGGACACAGCAAATAGCTCCAACAGGTCTTGTTCATTTTTGACCGTGGAAAGAAACCACCAACCACATCCTTTCGCGTACTACTCACAAATTTGAGTCGTAGTAGTACCTTACAACACTAGTATGATGGGTGTGGTATTGAGCCGAACGACAGCGCAGCTTTCTACCGCTAAAGTTCGATGTCAGTCACAGGTTCACGGCAAATTCGAAAAGACTTCGGTTGTCATAGACCTGTGGACAAGCCTGTTTTCGTTTAGCTGGCTCAAGAATAATTTCACTTACTCGGTCTTGTTCAGAAGTGATAATTGCGACTGACCCCACTAAAATTTCATTAGCTGAACGCATCCTCGTTCATGCAATAGAACGTGCGCATCTTTCCGCAGCTGAATTTGATCCCGAAGTTTGGGAATTATCAAAAGATTGATAAACTCGAGGGGACGCAATATCACTGGTGTATACCCATCTACTTTTCTCTGTACAGCTGAGCTATGAGACCGAGTCGATAACTGTATTCTTTTGTCGTTTTACCGCTCACCTGACTTATAGAATCATATGGTTGACCCATTTGGAAGTTAACTGTTTTGACAAGTTTCCCTAGAACCAACCAGAATCCCCCGTGGTGAACTCTGCGGCTGAGCCGGTTACATAAATTGTATTGTATTGTATTGTATTGTAAGGATTTTTACAGGCAACTGCGCGCACATTTCAATCAAATATGTATTCACCTTTACAATGGGATAAAAATGAAAAAAAGTTATATCCAACAATGATAATACGTAAACCGAGGATCATCTTTGTAGGTTTACAGTGAGTTCGTTTCGGATGTTCATCTTATCGCTTAGTATACGAGCCAGATCGAGTACTGTTGAATTGTGATAACTGTTTATGCGGGAGGGTAATTAGCAATTATGGATCGGGTTGTAGCTTGGGAACGGGAAGCAGATAGATCGGGATTGTGCGGATGACTGGGGTCGTTGAGTATTTCATGAGTGAAATTCACTAATTATTATGAAAACCATACAATTTTGTGAGTGCTTAAAGGAATAAGAGAGACACGGCTGGTAATTAGGAAACCGCGGCGAAGAGTACTGAAATCCTTTTAGGTAGTACAGGGAAGATAAAGAATGAACAATAAAGTATGTCAGGAAAAATGCATTGATGAGCAAAAGAACGTATAGTTGTATCCTTCATTCTAAATCGTCATAGCTTGCGTATCTGGAAGAATAAGCGACACAAGCTAACACTTGCGAAGACCACTATGGATTGTTCTATATTGTGACTCCTAGGTATTTGGTGGTGTGTTCTGATGATGGCTATGGAATTAATGACTGAGGGTTCAAAGGGATACTCGAATCGAGCTTGACTAAAAACGCATCTGAGACATTGAGAAGTATTCGTATTTGTTCGAGGATAATCGCACTTGTACTAAACCTTCAGAAAATAATTCCATTTCACATTGGTCTGAGATGGAGAGGGAGTAAGTCACTGTTGAATATTAAGAGTAAATATAAAAAAAGCACAGCACCTTAAAGAACACCAGAATCATTCGCTAATGTTTTTGAAATAGTACCGTTTGCTTTCGTTCTTTGAAATAGTCTTTCAACCATAACAATAAAGTGTTGGAACAACCGAATGACAATAGCTTTCAGCGAATCGGAGATCGTGGAGTAGAATCAAAAGTGAAAGAACAATCAAGGAAAACACGACGAACGGAATTGTGGGACTTATCTAAACATTTGTAGCTTAGACGGTCGTGCGTATACCGCATCAAGGCTTATGCGATGTCCGTGAGTGCCTCTGAATCTTAGAGGTAACTAGACTAGAAAACTGCGTTGAAATTCGTCACGAGTCCTGAGTACCGTATTTTTCGGACCATAAGGCGCACCGGATTATAAGACGCAGTATCAATGAACGGATCCATTTTCATATATAAGACGCACCGGATTATAAGACGCATAAAGCGAAACAAAATAGTCGGATAGGTCAGACTTTATTCAAATCATTAA